CTCACCTTTCTGTACCGCGGGGCTCAGCGGCCCCCAGCTCGGGCTCTTCCCTTCCTTAAAAAGACCATCTCCGACGGGATCTGCGGCGCAGAAGAAAACAGTCAAGCAGACCTAGGCGGAAGTTGCGGGTTTGACCGAAAGGGCCCCCGGGCTGCAGTGTTCTAGGGGTCCGGGCCACCCAGCTCCTCCTCCCCAAGCTAGGCTGCGACGCGTGCGGCGCAGAGCCCCTCCGTAGCGCCCAAGTCAGGAAACGCGTCCAGGAAAAAGGAAATCCGCTTTCCAAAGGGGCCGGCTGGAGCCTTATAAAACCCAGAGGGGATTGCGCCAGCCGAGTCTGAGCTAGCGGAGCCCCTCGAAAAAAGGAAGAGGGCGCTTGGAGGGCTCAACCGGTGTGAACACTCGGAGGACGAAGGTGAGGACCCTTGAGGGCGCAGGGGCGACGCCCAGCGGATCACAGCTTTCAGGCAAAGCGGGAGCCCGGAGACCATCACGCCAAAGACCCCTTCTTTCAGCCTCTTAGGATCCCGAATCTGCAAGTCCTATCTAGACCCACACTGAAACCTCAGAGCTCTCTGTCTACCTTGCAGGTTCCCTGAACGCCCCAGATTGCAACCATTAGTCCCTTTCACACACCCACAAAGCTACCCTCTGGAAGCATTCCCTTCCTTTGGTCCACCGAACTTGCCCCTTGCCTAGACTTCCCGCCCAGGGTCTTGGTGCCTCCAGCCCGCGGCTGGTCCCTGAGTACCTGGCAGGTACATGTTGATCAGCAGGGGCTGGGAGGCGCCGCTCTGTCTCATCGCTGCCGGGGACTGGGCGGTGGGAGATGGGGGGGCGGTACGGGGGGGCACGTCAGCTTTGCGCTTAGGGTGCCGATCCCCGCCCGAGGCGACCGTGGGTGACGGGGAAGAGTAGACGCCACCGGGTCCGGCAAGGCCTGGCGGGAGCGGGCAGCCAGGGAGTGGCGAGGAGGGAGGGGGTCCTGGAGCGATGCTCCTAGCTACAGGGCCGCTTGCAGCCCTCCGGCCCCGCGCGGGCAGGGGCCGCAATTTCCGTTTTAATTAAAGTGCAGCCGCCTCGGCCCCCCAGACCCCGCCCCCGCCCCTCTTATCTTCCCATCGCAATAAAGTCTCCAACGCCGCCGCAGCGCCTCAGCCAAGCGCACCCGGCAGCCCCCTGCGCCCCGCAGCCCGGGAGACACGCGGGGGATGGGCCCCGGCTCCGCGCTCAGACGGGGGTGGGGGGCCAGGGGCGCGGTTTCTTTTCCGGCTCCCCGACTCTCTGAAAACATCGACCGGGCGGGAATGCTAGCCCCACTTCGGACCTCCGAGGCCACAGCCTCAGGCCCCCTCCCCAGAGCCCTTTTTTCCAACCCTCTCCCTCCCTTCTCTCCCTGCTTACTCTCCGCCCCTTTCCTCCCCCTACCCGGGTCCCCGTCTCCAGGCTGCGTTATCTGCATCTTCACTTTTAAATTTCCGCTTCCCTCCCTCTCGCCTGTCGCTGCGCTCCCGGCCGCGCTGCCGGAGCTCCCTTTATCTTTGCCCACCCCCTTGCCGTCTCCCTCCTTTCTCCTACTCTCAGCTGGTCCCTAGAGACCCGATCTCCTTCTCGGTCTCCCCTATGCTTTCACTGGTTTCCTGGCCCCGGGCCTCAGGCAGGACGCGCCGGGGCATCTCCCCTGGCAACTTCTGAGTTGGTCGTTTCTCCTCTGCTTCTTCTTAGGTCTCCTAGCTGCCCTGTGCCTGCTACGTTTTTCTCCTCCTTCCTCCCCTCTTCCTCTCCTCGTTTTCATCTGTTCGATCCCTGTAAGTTGGTTGCCCTGTAAATTGGTTGGACCTGCTTGTCTAACCCGAGACAGAATGAATATAAGCTGCTTCCCTCCTCCCCCCGTTGTAGATTCCTGTTCTTTTCCTCACTTCTCACCAGAACTATTTCTCTCTTCCTACCCTTCCCGACTCTCACAAACACGCCCATGCTGGTCATGACTGGACTACACTGCTGGGTGACAGGGATCATTATAGAGCCTGTACCTGTGCCTTTCCTAGTGCCCGATGTGGCTTCCAAGAAGACCAGGGTGTCTGGGTACCTGTGAGACTTCCCAGCCCTGAAACTGGAGTTGGGACCCTGGGTTAGGAAGGCCTTTTCTGCAACCCTGTGACACTTGGGTATGTGATATTCGACACATATGACGGGGCGGGGGGGGGGGGCGCTGCTGTCAGACTCGCTGTTCTCTGGGTCATCCTCTCACTTAAACACGGGAGCCAGGAGAGCTGGAAATGGGCAGGGTCCTTGTCCCTAGGGTGCCTGTAGGAGGACTATGCAAAAATCCTGCTCGGGTTCTGCAGGGGCCCTGTCCACCCTCGCTTGCTCTAAGTCACAGGAGAGCTCATCTTGGCTAGTCGAAGGTGCAAAGGTGAAGAGGATTGCAGGAGACAGTCAACAGAATCCTCTCCAGACAGGGATGGCGACTTCAGGATGCAGACACGGAATCTAGTGGGAACAAATGCAGAGGTTGGGGTGTGTGGGGGAACAAGCTTGGGACACCACAGGAAAGGGCCTCAGGGTGCTGCAGCTCAGTCCTCCTCCTGCATCCTCTTCTGGCTCCTTCCAACCACTACTGACAGCCGGCAACAGCAAGAAGGTAAAACCAGGAAGAGCTGGGAGGCTTGGAGGTTCATCCACTTACTATTCTCAGCAGGAGGCTGAGGCAGAAGGGAGGAGAGGTGTGTGTGTGTGTGTGTGTGTGTGTGTGTGTGTGTGTGTGTGTGTGTGTCTTACCCAAACACACTAGCTATATGCTGGGCAAGTATGAACAGCTCAGGCTTTGTGCTCAGCCGAACAGAGAACTCAGGTGCAGAAGAAATGAGGCACTGGTAAAAAAAAAAAAAATGTGTGTGTGTGTGTGTGTGTGTGTGTGTGTGTGTGTGTGTGTGTAAAAGTCTCCCCACCCCACTTTCTCCAGTTCCTCCTGATGACACATATTAGCGGTCAATGAGAGCTTCTCTTCCATTGTCTCCCTGCTAAGCTGTCATGGCTCCTCCTGAGTCTACAGACCACCAACCAGCCTGTCCAGAATGGGAGAACCAGAGATTAAAACTCTCAGATATGATTCCTTCAACCTCTCCTTAAAAGCTGCCAGGGGATGATAGATGTGGGTAGCAGAATGTGACTCCTGGATCCAGGAAAACCTAAAAACATCCATGCTGGCAAAAGCTGGGTCAAACAAACCTAAGACCCTCAGCAAACTATCCAGGGTCCCTCTGCTAGGTCCTAGAGGTATCTTCTTGATACCTCTAGGTATCAAGGTGCAGGAGGATCGCTCATCCAAGAGAAGGTACCAGGGTTCTCTCTCTCTCTCTCTCTCTCTCTCTCTCTCTCTCTCTCTCTCTCTCTCTCATTACCTATTTCTGACAACAGGTAAGGAGATGGGCTCTAAAGCCAAGATGGCCAGGGTTCTGGAATCTTGTCTATTTTCTACTTGTGTGACATTGCGGAAGTTAAATTTCATTTGAATTGTGCTTAGACTCATTGTCTTAAAATTGAAAATTTACACATCTGCATGGTGTGAGCTTTTCATAAGATAGCACATGGTAAGTGCTTAAGGACCAAGTTGTATGCATTTAGCTTTGTTAATACTACCAACCTGCAAGAGATGACCAGTCAGGAACCCCACATATATTTCAGGCTTTATTGAAACCTGAGGGGTTTTAGCCACAGCTCAATTTACCCTTAATTGAACCTGGACTTGGCATCTGGGTCCTGTTTTCAAACCCTGGCTTAGTCACTGATTGGGCAGATAACCTCTGTAAGCCCCAATTTCTTTGTTACTGAGATAGATGAAGAGTGGAGGGTATTTGGAGGATCAGATGCAACAGGAGCCATGGACTCTAGAGCCCATTCAGAATTCATAGTACTGAGAGCTCTGATCCTTGGTTTCAAGACCCATGACAGGGCAGGTGGAGGGTCCTACATCCACTGTCCCAGTGCTTTTCCACAACCTTCCACATGCCCTTAGGGTGTTCTTATTAAATCCTCACAACACCCCCTAGACACACATGAGGCATGGGTCAGAAGCTTCAGTTTACAGGCAGATGAAGTTTAATGTCACAGGAGGTGTAAATGGTTGCTGCTAGAGTCTTGGGTCTGGGCTCGGAAGGATAAAGCCTCACCTGTAGAAGGACACAGTGGACAGTGGGAACTCCCATTAATGCTTCTCCTGGGAGCAAAAGAAAGGGGACTATTGCAAGACACTGGCAGGTTTCCCTGGCTGCCTGGAAGCCAGGGTGAAGACACAGGCTGAAGATGGCCCCGGGGTGGGGGTGCGGAACCAAGAAGAGCTTTTGCATATGACCCATAATATGTGTCCTGCAGGGTGCTTCCTGACCCAGGGAGTGTGTAGTGGTTGAAATTCAGCTGTGGATCCTACTTCAGGGTAGGATTGTTGATCCATCTAGAGAATGGCAAAGGCGCCATCTGGACTTTCAATACTTTGACCTATGAGGGTGGGCTTTTCCCAAGGCTAGATCTGGAACTGGCTGCATCTTGTTGGATCCCACAGCTCTTGCTGGCTGTTCCTCTTTGGCTCCCGAGAGCATACCCATGCTCATCCAAGTTAGATCATGCTTGATAGGTAAAGGTTCTGGGGCCTTATTGGAAAGAAGAAACAATCCTCAGAAAGATAAAAATGAAGATGGAGGCACACACCTTTAATCCCAGCACTCAAGAGGCAGACGCAGGCGGGTCTCTGTGAGTTCGAGGCCAGCCTGGTCTACAGAGCGAGATCCAGGACAGCCAAGGCTGTTACACAGAGAAACCCTGTCTCAAAAAACAAACAAACAAACAAACAAAACCCCTGAAGAAGAATGGAGATTACTTGCCTTGGATGTACAAATGCATAAAGCTCTAGGTTCCATCACACACACACACACACACACACACACACACACACACACACACGAGGGAGTGCAAGACACCAAGAAAAGAGACAAGGGGCGGGGAGATAGATTCAAGAGCTTTTATTGAGAATCTTAGGGGTGATGATGACTGGGGATGCGAAGCCTAGTGCTGGACTCTTCGAATGGACTGCAGCTGTCCAGTGTGAGCCTGTGTGCCAAAGTCACTGTAGGTACGGAACTCCCCACTGTGCCGGTCCCGCTCTAAAATGTACTGGTAGCCTCGGTAGCCTGGGTACTGGTAGGCCACCCACCTAGGATAGCGAAGAAGAAAACCGTAGTGGGAGGACACTGCATCGCTCCCACCTTGTGGTCCCCTCAATAGTCCCCTGTCCCAGCTACCAGCAGCCAGCTCTGAAACCATTGGTCCAGCTCTGCCTTTTGCTCTGGGTCTTCTTGTGATCTGTCTTAGCCTGTCTCCGTCTCCCCCATCCACCCAAGTTTTCACCCCCCCCCCACATTCCCACATACTCCCGTGGCTCCTGGTCTGTGTTGCCTCTTCCCACTCTTTCCATCCTCTTATTCCTCCCATCTCTGTTCACCTCTAGCACCCTCCACCATCCCCTCATCTTCTCTTTTGTTTTCATGAACTTCCCACTCTCCCCATCTCCCCTGGTCCAGCCCCAGGACTCACGCTCCAGAGCTGACTTTGAGGGAACCCACATCTTTGCTGGTCCAGCCCATGGAAGGCAGCGATGGGTAGTCATCACTGAGTTCAAACTTGCAGCCTTGGAAGTTTTCCCCCTCAAACAGTGTCACACGGCTGTCGCCGTGGTTCTGAGGCACAGAAACGGGGTAGGAGTTACAGAGATGTCAGGCCCCCCAAAGGGGTGTTCATGGATATAACCGTAACCCTAGTCACCCAGCTCCTGCTCAGTACATATCATGCAGCCTCTTAGGCATTTCAGGAAAGTTTACCTCATCAGCTCCTAGTAAGTCTGGCCAGCTGGGATGCTCAGAGGCTCCATCTGGGCCTTGCCAAGACTTTGAGTTGTTTGCAAAAACTAGGCAATTCCCAGGGATTCTTTGAGCTCAAGGCTGAAGGGACCTTTTTGTTATCATCATCTCTTTGTTTTATTTGTGATAACGGGGATCAAACCCAGGTGAGAATGCTAGGTTAGCCTTCAATTTGTGATGCTACTGTCTTAGCCTCCAAAGAAGCTGGAATTATAGGCATGTACCACTCTCGCCCTGGGCCTACTTTTTAGGAGGAAACCACAGTCTCTGAGACAAAAGTCTGGCCCCTTAACCAGGATATTTCTTTAAGAGTCTCATTGACCACCCAACTCCTTGCTCAACTTCCCATCACTGCCCCTCTCAGATTGGGACCCAGCTAAGGGATACTGGATGGAACAGTCAGAACAAACAGGTGGGCATGGTGGTGTTGGCTGCACCTGGCCTCCCTAGCACAAGGGTCTTCCTCCTGCAGGGTTATGGTCCCTCACAGCCTCTGGAAACAGATGAATTGGACTGGACTGGGTCCACTAACCTTTACCACCAAACCCAGGGCTCACCAGTATCTAAGTGAGCATGGATGAAGAGTGAGGACCTCCTCTCTGGGACATTTGCCTCATTATTTTACACACACACACACACACACACACACACACACACACACACACACACACACACACACCTCCAACACTCAAAGACATGCTGACACTGACCGTGTTCTCAGCCTGGTGTCATTTGTATGTTAGCACATTTGACCCTGTTAAGTCACATTGTGTCTCGTTTCTAAGACTGTGTATGGGGCTAACAGCAGCCACCTCAGCTTCGGGGGACTGCGTGACCTGTGGTGGACTGAGACTAGGACCGGGCATGCTCAGAACTGACTGTCTTTGATGCTGTCCGTGGTGCTGATCCAGGACTGTGTCCAGAGCCCCCATTTTCAGGCGTTTTTGGTTCTGGAGTAATGCCAGGACCACCGCCCCTCCCCGCCAGGAGTTTGTTCGCATGTCCTGTTCAGGGGCAGTAGGTTTTCCAAGGCACCACGCTTTTGCTGGGGCCTGGAGCTAGGCGACGGGAAAGGAGGGGAAGTGGGCCGTGCTCACCGCACAGAGCACTGGCCTGAAGGACAGCAATTGGTTGCTGTGGTGGCTGCTACTGCCGCTCCAGGCACTCCAACAGGGATAGTCTCCCTTCTCTAGAATGAACTGCTGTCCCTGGAAATCGGGGTACTCGAAGGCCACCCATCTGAAAAAGGAGAAGGGGAGCTGGGAGGCATCTGTCCAATCTCCCTCACCATCGTTATCACCTTCTTTGCTGTTATTAAAAAAAAAAAAAAAAAGACCCAGGGACCCAAACTCTTTTTCCAACTCTAGATCATTCCCCAGACATACCCAGCCCCTCTGGAGAATGAAAACCCCAAACCCAGTGCTTTCCGGGCTTGGAAGGGCCTAGGCCTCCCATTCATGACCCACAGGTTAGAAGGAATGCTTCGGTTTACAAACACCACCAGATCAAGGACTGTCTTCAGGGATTTATGTGCCTTCGGAGGGATGCATCCTGCCCTCCGGCCTGCAAAGAAACCTCAGCTCTCTCCAAGACCCCAAGCTGGCTTCTAGGCTATTAAGATGGGGCCGGCAGGAAGGATCTGTCTCCACAAAGCCACCTGACTTCTCACAAAGAAACCTGTTAGGGTTTCAGGGCGCCCCGTAGATTGTGTCTCGCCTTTGTCTTGGGGAGGGTTGGGAGTTTTGGAGAGGACCAAGGTTTCTCTCGTTGATGAATCTGTCTAGGGGCATCCTGGAGTGCAGGCTGGAGCCCCAGGCTCTGACTTTGGCTGGGGTGGAAATGAGAGAAGCTGGACACCCCCCTGAATTAGTTCAGCCGCCCGCGGCAGGATCACTCACGCGCCGTTTTCCACCTTGACCGAGCGCACCCTGCGCAGGGCTCCTCGCTCGCAGACGTTCGCACAGTCGCTCAGCAGTCGGCAGCGACGACCCTGGAAGTCCTCCTCATCCCAGAGTGTGAGGCAGGCGGGCGCCGGGCCCGGCGCGGGGGCGCTGCTCATGCCGCTGCGGTTTAGGTAGGGTGGGATCACTGACTAAGCTCTCAGGAGTCCCTCTGTTTAACCTAAGCCTGCCCATTCCCGGTAGGGTGTACCGGACCCTGGGGCTGGATCCGGCCTGGGTCTAGATACAGACAGCCGGAGGCAGGGGCTTTCCCTCGTTTCTCCCTCCCTTTCCCCAGCCCCAGGTACTCACGGGATGGGGGAGCAACGCACGCCCGGAGAATGGACAGGCTGCGCGCGAGTCTGGTGTGCACCGCTTTATACCCGCGTCTGACTGCCTCTCCCTGTGGGATGCGGGCGCGGTGGGCCAGCTGAGTCAGCTGGCAGGCTTTGGTCGGCCCTGGTCTGCATAGGCAGCGGAGCCACCGATCTGGTCCCAGCCCGCCCGGGGTGACAACGGAAAATGCTGAGGCGCACATCGCGCGTCCGCAGGAGCCCAGGCTGACTCTGCGCTTTCTTTCAGTGGAGGCTTAAGCCTGGCAGAGACTCCCAGCCTAGGGGCAGAACATGCACACCCTGGCACAGACTCTCAGGCGTGAAGGCTAAGCCCGAGACTTAGCCTTTTCCTAAGCCTGACCCAGCACGGTTCTTCCCAATGCTGCAACTCCCTAGGTGAAGGTCTCTTTTGGGCGTCGCTAGGACGGAGGAAGAGAAAGCCCTTATCTAACGACCCTGCATCAAGCCCCCAGGCCTCCTTAAGCTGGAAGATCTGTCCATCACTGCCCTTTCTTCCCGAGCTGGACTTCCCAACTAGACTTCTCCCGCCCCGAGGTCCAGACCAGGCCTCGCCGCCAGGCGGCACTAAACACAAAAAAAGCATCCGGGAGCGCATATGTTTGCCTGGATTTTAGGACGACTGGTGCCAACAGGAGGATTGACTGTCCTAGGTAGAAAGAGCATCTCAACCTTCCCCACCACCCGCTAGAGAGGCGAGGCCGCTCGAGCCCCAAAATGCAGGGCTCCTGACATAGGCGGCGGCCGCGGCGGGGGGCGGGGGGCGCTGGGGGGCAATAAAGGCTTAGAGCCCCAGGAAGGCAGGTACAGGTTCGCCTCACCGTTAGCTGTCAACTAGACACGAGCTTCTTGCAGATCTGTAATGCAAGTGCTTTTTAATGGTGAGAGGCTACCCCAGCAGGAGAGGTGGGGGGTGGAGGAAACTATTTTGCTACTCCTGCTTGCCAAGCGCCTCCCTTAGAAACTCAACAGCGGCCTGGTGGGTTCAGTTTGCACACACAAATGTGGAAATTGAAACTCAACCTGGTTCGGGGCTCTGCGCAAACTCGCAACTGGCCAGTTTCAGAGTTAAGAAAAGCCAGGATTTTTGTTCTGTTGCCTCCCACCCCAACTCCTGGAAGCTTACTTAAGGCTCTATCTTTCACCTAATCTGCCAAGTCCGTTCCCAGCCCAGAGCCTTTACATTTGCCCTTGGAATCCCCTGGAGTGTCTTAGCCACACACTCTTGGCATGCAGCTCCCCTGACACTTTGTGGGTGATGCTCGTCACAGCACACTTACCACCCATCACGGCCATTTCCTCTCTAGCATTTGCCAGTCTGAAGATACCCTCCTCTTAGTTCATGAAGACACCGGCGCCCCCTTCACCAGACTGTAAGCTCCACACAAATGGGTAGGAACTATGTTTGCCTTGTTCCCAGATATCATCCTCAAATCTAGCATGATACGGAGCAGGAATTCAATAAAACTGGAGTGGATTAACAAGACAACCAACTGTGGGCCAAATGCCCCCGGGGAAGGAGTGTACAAGAACATCTCCAGATGGTTTGCCCTTCCTACTAATCCCATTTCTGGAGTTCTGAGCTTCTAGGGGAGGGGGGAGGGAGCCTCTCCATTCATTCACTAGTGAGAAATGGCTGCTGGGATTCACATACATGAACTTGAGTTGAGGCTACAGTCCAAGCCAGGAGAACATGGGTGGAAAACAGGATAAGCCTGGCCAGGTTTGATGGAGCGTGGAGCCGGAATTACTGCTCAGCTGCTTGACTCTTCCCTAGAGAGGGCTAGACAAACAAAAGGACTGTGATTTGTCCCAGACCACAGCGGAAAGTCCTGACTCCATATAGCACAGCAGCTACTCCTGAATGCTTAGTATTCTCGCTTCTGCTCTGTGTCACAAGTCCTGGCTGCAGCAAGAAGTGAGGCTTGAGAAAAGAAAAAAATATATATAATGAAAGATCATTTTCCTTCCATTGGACAATTCTAGAGGTGGCCACCAGGGGGCGGAGCCAGTCTGCACTGGCCAGAAAGCCAGACCTGGTGGAGGGGGGTCGCGGGGGGAGGGGGGGTGTTGCTCAGGAGGGGCTGTGGTGGTGACTGCAGGCTACACGTCTATGCTGCTGGTGACTGTGCCCATGTGTTAACTCCGAGGCTGTGTTTGTCATGTTTAGCAGGAGCTGGGCCTGGGGTGGAGGCAGCTTCCAGTCCGTGTGTTGGTTAGGAGTCCTCAGAGATGCGCGTTCGCTCCAGGGTTTGGAAAGACACAGAGGGAAGATGAGCTCCTCCTTAGACTTAGGGGTATCCTGGTTTGGGGGGTGGTGATTTCTATGAAAGTCTACCCTTTCCAGTAGGACGTTCTCTTGGCAGCAGCCAGCCTCCCCGCTCCGCCTGCACCACCGCGGTTTCCTCATCGGGAAAATATAAAGGTCGCACCGCACGTCCATGGCTAAACGGCACATCTGTCACCACCACACCTGCTTCTGCCACCCACAGCAACTGAGGTCCCGTGTCCCCCAAGCCTCAGAGAATGAGAAAGGGACCCAGACACCACTGAGAGGGGCCAGGAGGCTCCCAGGCAGCCCCAGCACCCTGACGGGCCAGAACAAAACTATGAGGGATGCTGGGCTGTAGACGCCTTCCATTATCCTCCCGTCCCCAGCGGGCGGGTCCAGCTCCAGCCCCTGGTCTCCCCCTCATGCCCCCTCCTGCCCCCAGCAGCTGTTCCTGTTTGTTTTCCCAGATTGGCTGAGCTTAGAGCTTCCTGAAGGATGGATGCCCAGGTGGCTTTGTTTGCCAGCTTAGTACCATCCATCCCTTTTACCTCCTCCACATCCACAGATTTGACATTCAGGGAACAGTCAGGAAAAAAACAAAGCCAAACCAGAAACCCAGCAACCTCAGCTCTACACCCCCCAAATCACTTGGAGACCTCACAAGGCTCTCTGACCCCACTGAGGTGATGATCATCTCACATAGGGACCTTTGGCACACACATCCCAGGAGTCAGTCCTAAGACCTTATCCACATCACCATTCCTGTTCTGTCTACCCCCCACCCCATGATTTTAAGAAAATACCCATTCCATGTTGACCCTTGGATCCACAAGGAACCTTCAGGCTTGAGCTTGACTGCTTCCATAAGGAGCTCACACTCTACCCAAATCCTCCATCCCATGTGGGAACTTGTGGACTCTGCAGATAAGTGCCCAGACCCAATCCTGAGTTCCCATTCACAGCTCCATCTCAGTAAAGATCCAGAGAATGCCTGGGGAAGGGGCCCCTATATGGAGTCTTAATCCATGAAGAAGCCTGTTTCTCAGTATTGCTGGACAGTTTAGAGGTGCTGGTGGCTAATGTCCTTCCCTCAAGGTGGCCTGGTCCCACCTCTTCCCCTCATTTCACAGGGAAATTATCCAGGGCCTTGGGGACTGAAAAATGCAAATTCTGTGAGTGGTGCCCTCATCCACCCCAGTCCCATGGCCAGCCTGTCCTCTGCAGCCTCCTAGCTCCTCTAGGCCCTGCCCACTTCAGCTCTGGAACAGGCTGATGAGCTCCTTCCCTGGGGCTGTACAAGCCTTGTCTCCCAGGAGACAGAGATAAGTCAACCAACGTGAGACAAAGCCAGTTCACCATACAGATGGGAACCCTACCCACATAGACCCATGATCCCACCCTAGCTTATCTGTCCCTCAGTAGGGCTGGAGGACTGATCTCCATCCAAAGAGGTGAGAGGTGGCTTTCGCCTCTATGAACCAATTTCAACACAAGGCCACAAGACTCTTCTAGGATGTCAGGGCGAGGATACGTGCACGTAGGTTCGCAGTGAGGTGGGGGGAGAGTCATCCTCAGTGACAGGTACGTGGGCACGACCCCACAGCTTGATTGCCCTGTCCTGGAGCTCAATGGACACCTCAGCATCTGTCCGTTTGTGGGAAAATGCTTGTTCAGTCATTTATGTGCCACGCATGGGGGAGGGCTCACACTGGAGCACACCCTCATGCGCTTTGACATGCACACAGCGGCCCCTCTGCAGTGACCCAGAGGGGCGTCATCTTAGCTGTTTAGCTGTGATCACGAAGGTACTGGAGGCTAGCTGGGCTCTGGAGCCTGTTGCTGCCTGAGATCAAATCCTAGCTCTACTGTTCAAAAGCCATTGCACTTTACCCTTCCATTTTTCTCCTCTGTAAAATGGGAATCATTGTCTTGGACTGCTGTGGGGATTTAAATGTATGTAAAACACAGAACCACCCTGCAGTACACACTCAACAGATGGTAGCCGGTGCTGCTGCTATATTTTCGGGTTATGAACGTCTTTGTCTCAGGGTTCTCCCCACTTCCACTCAGGTTGGATTGGGAGGGGTTGGGCAGCCAGCACAGCCCTGGGATCCTTAACCTCCTTTTCCCACCTGATCCTGGTTCTAGAAGCCAGCAGAGCACACCCCCCAGGGGGCCTTTTCCTTTCCCCCCCCCCCCCCCCCCATCCACTCTGCTGACTCACGTTTGACAGGTCAGGGGATGTGTTCCAAGTCCCCATTCTTGCTCAGGCCTATGCTGTCAAGGGAAAAAAAAGGTGGGAAGTAGAGCTGAAGACCTGACCCCTGTTTCCTCTGGTTTTCTTGGCTCCATAAGTGGCCTTTGCCAACCCTCTCCCACCCCCATCCTCTGCATGGGGCCTGAGTTTTTCACCTGTAAATTAAGTTGGCTACTGGAGGAGGCCTTGGTCCTGCCACTTCTGAAGAGGACTCTCTTCCTTCCCCATCCTGCCCCCGGCTTGCCCCACCGGCCCCACCAGCTACCCACCTGGCCTAGCCAGAGTGAGGGGGTGAGCTGCGGTCACCATGGGGATTAATCTCCAAGAAGGTCACCAAGGCTCTGGTACCAACCTGGATAGGGATTAGCACCTGGATGTGAGCGCCCACTCCTAAGTCTCTCCATTCTCACGAAGACCCCCAGAAGCCTCTGAGCCCAGAAGTTCCCAAGGTTGTCAGATGCATCAGGATGGGTGGGGGCGGGGCGGGGTCTGTCTGTCTGTCTGTCTCTGTCAGTCTCTCTCTCTCTCTCTCTCTCTCTCTCTCTCTCTCTCTCTCTCTCTCTGTGTGTGTGTGTCTGTGTCTGTCTGTGGTGTGTGCCTGCGTGTCTGCTTTCTCTCTGCCTCTGCCCCTGGTTTTCCCCCTAGGTCCTGCCTCCACTGTCTGAAGGTTCTATACCTCTCCCTTCCCTGCCGGAGTGCTCCCCCTCTGGTTCTGACCTGACTTGGCTCTGAGCTACACTCTCCATCTGCCTTTTGCCCCTGTTCTCCGGCCTCTTCTTCCTCAGGCACCCCTTTGGCCATTTCTGGGTCTCCCCGTCTCCCCCACCCCTACCCTCAGGGCAGCAGTTCAACTCATCTGTCCCTTCCCTCTTCCCCCCTACCTGTTCCCTCCCCCCCCAACCCGGAGTGCTGACAGGGAAGACAGGAAGCAGGCTCTGGCTTCGAGCAGGAAGGGGGAGGGGCAGCCCGCACACCAGCTGCTGTGTACCCCCCCCTTCCATCCCAGCACCTGCAGGCTTGTCAGACTCCACCTCGGTCTGAAGGGGAGGGACCCAGAGGAGAGGCCAGATGCCCCGTCATGGCCTGGAAAAGTGAATCTTGGAAATGGGTAGGGGGTGGGGACCCGGGGAAGGCAGTTTTAGGAAGGGGCAGTAATGCCCATCCCCAGGCCAGATCCTCAGCCCACTGTGTGGTCTCTCTTTTGTCACCCTACTTCCAAGGGCTGTTTTTTTTTTTTTTTTATATGTTCTGGGGACCATTCCAGAGAGGGACCTCCGTTGTACAGACTCAAGATCTGGAAGGCCCAAGGAGCGCTAGCTCCATGCCATCATCGGGGAGGGAAGAGTGTGCTGTCAAAAACTAGAAGGTGATCCGGGCTGACGAAGGGTAATTCGCTCAGTGCCGGCGAGGGCAAGGGAGGAGGACTGTGCCAAGGGACGGACCTGGTCCAGGAGGCCAGGATGGGGATTACGTATACCCATCTGAGGACATGTGGATCTAGCCTGGCCTTGGGGTTAGCTCAGGCGAGAGCCCACCCTCCCTCATCAGGGCCACTTTTAAACCATCCCTCGGGAGCTCAGCAGATCCTGTGGGGCCCCTGGACAGCGGTGAAGGGGTGGCGGATGGGACAAGACAGCACTTCTGGGGACATTTGAACTGGTGACCCTAGTGTTCCATCTTCCTGGCATTGCTTCTGTCTCGATGTGTGGGGTACCACTCTCCACCAGTGCTCCTTGTCCCGAATGGGAAACCAGCCAAGGGATCCTTGCTGCTGGGCGAGGATGCTTTTTATGTCATCCTACAGCTGGCCTTTGTCACCTCACATTCTCAGAGAAGGCACCTGGAGTCAGAGGACAGACTCACGGCTCTCTGGCCTAGCCTCTCCCCCTTGTGCCGAGCTCTCAGTCGGGGCTCCTCTGCCAGAGTGTAAGACAATCCCCTTCTTGCAGGCCAGGTCACGGCATTTTAAGTAACTGAAATGGAGGTGGCCCATCCCAGGTCTGGGTTGTGACTAATGATCCATGACGGAACTCTGGCTGAGCTGAGCGCTTACCTAGACTCACTCAGACTAGCTTGTCGGACTGGGATGCAGAGAGCACAAGATTATGGGGCTTGAGAAAGGTGGTGAGCCCTGTCCTGTGTCTGAAGACCCTGAGTTTGTCCTCTTGGCTGATCTCAGATTTGATTGGACTGAAAGACGGACCCAGGAGGTGGCAGAAGTGAAATTTGGTGGTGGCTGCGGCAGCCTGGAAGAGAGCTGGAGGGGTAGATTTGAGTCGACACAGACGTCTTCAGCTCTCGATACCCAGATTTTCTACCCCTCACAGCTCTGGCACCTGCTCTTAGAGGGCCAGGTTAAAGGGATTCAACAGAATGGTAGGAGCCCAGAAACCAGGTTAAAGAGGTTGGTGGAGGCCCTCACTCCTGTGAGAAACAAGGCTGCCTCCTTTTTTTTTTTTTTTTTTTTTTTTTTTCAAACGCGAGAACCAAGAGGCTGGGAAAACACTTGCCCAAGGCCACAGAATTCGCCCCGACCGAGCGGGGCTAGAATCCCAGTTTCCACCTTCAGAAGGGGATCTGTTCTGGACCTCAGCCCATTCCGGCCACCCCGCTGGAGCCTGCTCAGCCCGCATTACCCTGCAGCGAGCTGTGCCTGGCAGCTCAGAGTCTGCGGGCAGGGGCAGGCGGGGCCTGATGGGAGCCGGATGTCCCCCCGGGCACGGTGCGCAGTCTCTGCGACCCATATGGTGGCGGCGGCGGCGGCGGGCAGGTGCTTGCTTGCTTGCTTGCGTGGCGATCGGGCCAGCCCCGGGGCTGCTGTTGAGAAGCGGATGTTGAGAAGCCGCCCCGGCCTCACGCGAGCCGAACGAACAAAACGCTCAGGTCCGGTTTGTGCGAGGGGCTCGTCGCGGGGCCGGAGCGGAGGACCCGGGGCCTGGCGGCGCTCGTCGGCGGCGATGTCTCGTGGGTGATCCTCCTCGAGGGCAGCGCCGCACCACGCTCCCGCTAGCCGGCCGCCGCTCTCACCTGCGCGCACCGGGGGAGCTGACACGTCGGCGGCAGCGGCGGACGCCACAGGTGCACACCTGGCCCGCCCCTCCCTCCCTCCCCGGCCACCCTCCTCCGCAGCTTTCCTGCCCCTCCGCCCAAACCAGCCAGGCTTGGCTTCGTCCCCAGCCCACGCCCCGGAGCCTGTGCCCTAGCCGGGGTTCAGAGCACTCTTATACTGCCAGTTCAGTCCCCGCCCCTACACACACACACACACACACACACACACACACACACACACACACACACCTGTCCGGGCGCCCGTTTGCTCGGGGCAAATATTGACTCATGGAGGCGGAGCGTCCCCCTCCCCCGCCCTGGCTCCGAGACCAAGCTTCTGCAGAGGCCTTGGCGGCGCGGGCTTGGGGGGGGGGTAGGGGGGAAGGGGAACGCAGGGGAGGGTGCCGGGGACCTGAGCGCCTCTGGAACAACACCAGATGTCACTTTTCCACCCACCTGGCTCTGAGCTCAGGGAGGAGCAGAGGACAGAGGCTGCAGGGCCGGGCTTAGGGAAAAAACAGAGGCGGACGTCCTAGTGAAGGCAGACCTTCTCTGGGTCTGAGGATTGGTAATGGGGGTCACTGAGCAGCGTCCGTAGCCCCTTAAACCGTGGCTTCCAAAAGTGCCTGCTGCTATTGAGTACCTCAGTTTCCCCTACTTCTTAACCTTTTTTTGTTTGTTTACTTTGTTTTTGGTTTGGTTTTCAGAGACAGGGTTTCTTTATGAAGCTCTGATGGATTGTTCAGGAAGTAGCTCTGTAGACCAGGCTGGCCCTGAACTCACAGAGATCCTCCTGCCTCTGTCTCCTGAGTGCTGGGACTAAAGGCGTGCGCCACCACCGCGCTCGGCTTCTTCTTACCCTCTTAGAAGAGTTCAAGGAACCAGGCTGGCCCTGGAGGTGCTGGTGAACAGATGTGGGAAGCTGTGTCCATCCAGCCTCTGTGGCCACCTGTTTAGCCCACCAGGCCTAGCGCTTGGGTTCTTGTCTTCCAGGATACATTGTACCAAAGTCCAGCTGTGCCCCTCCTGAAGCGCCCTCCACTGGCCAGACTGAGTCCAGCACCCCTCTGCAAGTATCAAGCACTCTTACCAGCCCAGGGGAAACTCTTCCTCCCATTTCTAAAGGTATGGTGGGTCTCTGTGGTCCACACCAGCAGCCATACTTCTTTTCTCCAGGCAGGGGAAAATAAAATCCAATTATATGGGGAGAGGAGTGCTAAATGTTTTACTAGCAGGACGATAAAGAGGGGAACGGGGGGGGGCGATTAGACATGCATGTATGAGGGGCTGGATGACGGCACCAGTAAACAGTCCATAGGAGGCTGTATCTCAGTGCAGATTACTTCTCCTTGTTGCATGGGCAACAACAGGGTGTCTGTCCTGCAAAACAGAAAGCCGAGGGTAGCAATGAGGGTGGGGGCTTCTAACCACATCTGAATGCATCTCCTGTCTTGCTCCCCTCCAAGCAGCGAGTATAACCCCGAGAGACCTGTGCACGCTGACTGGTGGCAGGGCGATGATGCGGGGCCTGGAGGTGAGCACCACTTCTCCACGGCTTGCCTCCACCAGTATGTTCTGGATCATGTTCTCTAGTATCGACTCCTGCAGGGTGGCGAAGGCGGGTAGCCTGGGGAGGAGGGTGTTGCTCTTGTTAGCAAGGTTGCAGATCTACAAGCCGCTTCTCCACTTAGCGGGGTGCAAGTGTGCC